GTTGACTGAGTCGGCTGAGGGGTTTTATTTAAGTGAGGATAAGAGGAGATGGGGACTTGAGGCTTGGAGCAGGAGTTCGGCCTGGAGATCGGGAAGGTAGGATGGATCGGCCTCTCTCTCTCTCCCTCTCGGTTTCTCTGGATCGGACGAATCGGAGGTTGGGGAGGACTAGGGAAGAGGCAACGGGCTTCTTGCTGGAGCTTGAGTTTCGGGATAAGGAGTCGGACGGGAGGAGGAGGTCGGGAGGAGAAGTATCGGGAGGCTGATGGGAGCTTGGAGTCGAGAGCTGCGAGAGGAATCGGGATCCAGGAGAGGTTTGCGGTCGTGGGAGAGGAAGTGTGCGGAGCCAGGAGAGCTACAAGAGCTCTTCTTGTGTGCTTTTAACGACAGAGGGAGTGGGGTAGAGACAAAGTATGCAGAGAAGAGACGTATTCGCGCTCTGCCGTTTCTCAGAGCATGGGCACTGTTTACGTGGCGATTTGTGCAGGATCTGAGCGGATATTCGGCAGAGAATAGGAGATGGGTACGACAGGTATTTGAGTATTTTTTTTATTTTCTTTCCTTTGGCTTGTAGTAGAGGTCAACAGCAACAAGTAGTGCACGTTAGTCTATCTGTACAAAGCAGCAAACAACCCAATCCACAAGTTGCTATGCTGCGCCACCGGATCCACAACATCCCCACAAGCGGATAAAAGGCATGCACGAGTTCCCAAATAGAACGTTGTATTCAAATGACAGTTGCCCATACAACTGACCAACATTAAATATTTTCAAAATGCCCCCGCACATGCACCGTAATTTATATACACATATATACACAAAAGGGGTAGGTGCAATCATAAACCTGCATTGGCCCTGACGAACGTGTTATGGGTACACACGTGACGTCTAGGAATGCTGTGTGGATCAATAAATGAGTGTAGTTCGAGCCCTATCCTTCTATATGAATGGATCGAAGTTGACACGGTTTGAACAACTAAACAAATATGTGGTTACAGCGTCGACTGAGATATTTGTTTTAATATGTTCATATAAGGCATTCAAGGCCTATGAACATGGACTTTCATTAATAAAACATAAAATCTACGAAACTTGATCCTCTGTCGACAACTCGACAGAGTCAATAAGGTTTAATCCACAAATTGAAATGCCCCCAAATACTCCAATGATGGTAGTGTTGAATATCTATCTCAGCCGAAGGGGTTCACAAACACTTTCAAATGCCTCCTAAATTCTCATATGCCTATTAAAACTCAAAATTCCAAATATTTAAAATTGAAATCACCCATTAAACATTTAAAGCAAGATTCATCCACCATCCACAACAGTTTGTCGCGGTGGACAAATTAAAATTTACTTCAACTCACATAGAGCTAATGCCTAGTCGAAAATATCATTAGGATCCATTCTCAAATAATCTTATGTCAGTAAGGACGTGGTACGTGTCCTCTGACTGGTAGTTTCATCGCTAAATGGCATCGCAGGATAAACGTCTATGACTCGGGGCCCTCTGAATCGAGTGATTTTGCCGCAAATTAGCACCACTAAATTACAGTTATAGCCAGAGACAATACGTTCCTTAGTGTCATCAAATCTTTGAGATATGAATCAATAGGATATAATCGATAGGGCACAAAGCTCTCTGTTAGCTAATGTGGATTTAAATTTATCCTCTTAGACAAACATTCACCTCATGTCTACAAGGTCCCCTTGGACGAAGCAACCCATGATTGCCTACAAGGATCCTTCTGTCAGGTTGGGTCGACTATCTGCTCTGACTAAGTAGACTAGGGACCACGATGGCCCGGGACGACGGAACCATGGGATCTTGATCGGGATCATCATCCATTCCCCCACCATCCGCTTTAAGTGCAAGATGGTGAAATTTCCAATTTTAAATATCAAACCCTTTCCAAATTCCTAAGCCCAATGCTGCTACAATATGCCAGATACCGCGTATCTAAGGGTATGATGTATTCACCGACGACTAGCCTTAATCGAAAGTTCTCTCTTGTGACTGAGAGGGGTAATTAACTATAGGGTCGTGCGCCTATAGGAAACCAGAACTCAGATCATAAAGTCCTCGCAAAATGAGGGCGAAATCTCTGGGTAGTGTCTTATCTACAAACCCATCCGCCTTCCCAAAATTTACCCCAGAACCTAATTCGTTAAAACTCTCCCCCAAAAAAGAAGCGGGTGGAGGCCGGAGCCGAATTTTCGGAGCCCACATGAACATAGATCCCTTTGGATAAAATGCATTGAACCAAATGTGTGATTATGGTTTGGTCCCCCAAACTCCATTTTAGTTTTTTTATTCTTTTTCAAGCTCTCATCTTTGTGCTGCTACTTAAGATTTTTGCTCCTCAAACTAAAATTAGGTAGTTACAATTATTTGATCAAAATTAGGTAGTTACAATTATTTGATCAACTTTCCGATCATTTAATTTTTGATTAAGCATGATTATAAGGATCTTCAATAGAAAACATGGGTTCTGAGGTACAATCTCATATGTTCTTACAATAAGTTACCATATTTATATTAAACTTTATTTGAAATGAGGCATCTCATTGATATTTAAATATTACTCGAATCATTGAGGTTGTTAGTACCATTTATATTATACCTTAGTATTTCTTTTTGATGCCTCACCAAACCATCAAAAAAATTCAAAAGATTTTGTTCATAGACAATAATTATTAAGCATTTATTTTTAAAATCTAATAGATAAGAAATATAATGAGTAAAAGTCTAAAATAGTTCCCCGTTTTAGTCTCAGCCTTTTATGACTATCCAATTTAGTTACCTAATTAGCAGAAAATGTTTTAATTTGGTCTTAAGGCCAATAAGTAATAATTAAATTTACCCCAACAGTTAAATATGAGAATATTTTGGGTATTATGGTGTATGTGAGATGATATTATTTTTTCATATTTTTTGATATTTATTATTTTTAAATAAATACAAAAATCATAACAAGAGTTAACCAAATAAATAAATAGAGTGAATAATTAATAAGCATGATTAACTTTTATTATGAATTTTGTATTTATTTTAATATGATAAATGACAAAATATATAAAAATAATAATATATCCTAATACACAAAATGCAACACATTTAACTGTTGAGGTTAACTTCAAATTTTTAACTGTTACGTTTAGTCTTGGGACCAAATTGAGACATTTTTAAATAGTCAATAGACTAAATTAGGGCATTATGGAAGTCTGAAATTAAATTGGTCATTTATTAATAGTCAGGGGACTATTTTGGACTTTTTCTCGAAATATAATATTATAGGGTCAGTTGTACTTATTCAAAATGACTTTGAATTGAATGTTCAGAAAATTGATCTTGATTTACATTGTCGGGAATATCTATAAATAGAATTTCAAGAGGTTCTATGATGCTTTCCTATTTATTGACAATTTCCTTTTGGTATATGAAACATGAATTTCATGCGACTTTATTTAGGTTTTTCATTGTTAAATCGTTTGAGGAACCAGAACATTGAAGATTTTTCTATAACTAGCTTCAATGGTATAGTTGAGGGTGAATAGTTATGATTTGCATTTGGTAGGTTGAATACCTAAGTAGTTGTGTTCTAGTTTTGAACCAGAGCCTAGCAACCTCTCTTATGTATATATTATATTTTTGAAAAGAGAGATAAAGTCTTGTTATTATCCGAGCAAAAAAAAAAAAAATCTATTGTTTTTCTTTTTTAATATATATATATATATATATATATTTTGCATTGAGCTATCAAATTCAAATTCAAAATTGTTGATATTCTTTTCCATCAATGAATTGGGTGGTTATAAAATTTATTCATTTCTATAATTTATGATCTTGGATCAAGCTTATAATAATCTTTACTAATGGATCCTTAAGATGGAGTGTTACCAAATTTCATAATTTATTTGGACAAAATTAAATGATAATTTATGTTTGTGCCTAACTTTTTTATTTCAAATAATGCCAATAACTTTGATTTTCAAAACAACAACACAGATACTAGTTAACAAGGATATATCATGCTAAAAAACTAGGATATGAAATTGTTAGAATCAACAATGTCGTCATTAAGCCTTATTCTAAGTATTTTAGGCATGCTTTATCTATCCTCCTCTTTTTGGATTGCTACAAACGAACTAATAATTCTTTTTTTTTTTTCGATTTTTCTTGCTCAACTTTTAGCAACGCAACCTTTTCTTTCCTAGTCTTCTCTTTCTCATAAATCTAGTTGCGTTATTGTATCTTATTGTTTTCTTTTTTATGTTCTCAAATTACTGAAATGTTTTTTTTTTTTAATGTTATCTTCATAAGTTTTGCCCTATCATTTAAATTTTATTTATGTCAAACGGAACTTGGTTGTTATTTAATTCTATATGAGGATATGGATGTCTAAATTGGATAAGAATTTGGACACATGTATGCTCTTGTATGTATGTCCATCCATACAATATTTCCGTAGATGTATATATTGCGATGGATGCAAATGCACCTAATCATAATGGCAATCCGTAGTCCATTCACTCACAAATTAAAACAGTGCAGGCTTATACATGCAGACAAACATTGCACATATGTGCAAAGTTTCCAGTAATCCTAGAAGACATGAAGCAGTTTTATACCATAATTTATTTGTCTATATTTGAAATTTATTATCTTTTCTAATATGCTTGTTTGATATGTTTTATGATGTCTGATACATGCCAGCAATAAGTATTTGAAATGTTGCAATTGGACATATTTGATAGGACATCAGACGCATCTTGTATGGGATGCGGAGAGGGAAGGAAGTGAGGAACTTGATTTAACCGACTGAAATTATGGAGTTAATTTTTTTGATTAGTTTGTTTTGCTATTTAAAAGGAGCAGAAAAATATCTGCTTGTTTGTAATTGAAAACATTTTGGTTGTTATAATCTTTTGCTTTATGGGCACTTTGCAATTTTAGTGTTTTTTTTTATGATTAATAACAAATTGTTTGTTTAATGCAGAGATGAAAGACAGGAAAAAGCAGATGATATTCCTAATGAACATAAAAAAGATAACCCGTTGAAACATGACGTAAGTTCTTAACATTAATCTTTTCTTCAGTATGGCTTTCCATTTCTTTGTTACATAAACATTCTTTCATGGTACTTTGCTCCTAATATTACTGGAATACTTTATGTAGCCCAGCTTCGTCAGAATTAGTTTCGATCTCAACTTTAAACTTTTCAGCCACGCTGGCCTTCTACCTCCAATGTCCCCATTAAATCATTCTCTTTTTTGTGCTGGTCGTATTGTTGAATATATCAGGCATATTTTGTATGCTATGGTGCATGATGAAAATTATTATATTTACCACTATAATCAATGGATTAAGAGGGGAGTCCCACCCTGTGCAATTCATAAATCATTTACGAATTTCATCCTGATTTAGAACATATAGTAGTGACAACAGGTAACAACAACAATAACAACTAAGTTTTTATCCAATTAAAGTCTTTATCCAATTATGTGGGGTTGGCAGTAGGAGCTACAGGTAAGATAAATAAAAATGTTAGTTATAATAAAATTTATATTATCATATTTATTTATACATTAATTATAGAATCCCTTCGAATATAATAGAAATATTATTATTATAATTCTATTTAATGATTTACTAAAAAAGATGATGAACTTGCGGGGAGCCCTTGGCTGTCATAGAACAGCCACAAAGCTCTAAAGGATGATTAGGCATGCCAACTGCACTCTTTTACGGAGAAGTTATTCTAATGGATACCTCTACTAATTGTTAAATCAAAGTTTAGTCATAAATATCATTTGTGACTAAAAATATTATTATAAAAAAAATCTTTAAAAGGGTAGATGGACAGGCATAAGGGATTATTCATGGCATTTAGAGGATCAAAGAGTACAGTGGAACAACATAATGTTTACCATATATTTATTGTTATTATTGTTTATATTTATTTATTATTCCTTATTATTATTATTATTATTATTATTATTATATATGCTGGAGGGCTCTAGCATAAGTATTGACACATTAGTCCACAATGTAGGCCATTTTGAAGTTACGAACTGGGTTGATTGAGATCATGGCTCGCTTTTATTCCAATTTTGTGGGCCATTGAGGTCAACAAAATACTATTGAAATTAGAAAGCTAATGCCTTAGTATGTCAGCAGAGATGGACAACATAACCAGTGACATACAAACTCTTGTAGAATTCCTAACAAAATAAGGTGCTTGATTTCAGAGATAGACATTTCGACTTTTGAAATGAACTCTTACCCAAAATCCCAATACTATAACAACAACAACAAGCCTTTATTCCACTATATGGGGTCGGCTACATGAATCCTATTTTTCCAATTTGTCATGTTAAGAGTCAAATTCTCATCTAAATCTAATAAGGAAAGGTGATTTATAATATTTTCTAACCAAGTCTTATTAGGTCTACCTCTATATTTCTTAACATAAGTCAAATCTAATACATCTACTTTCCTACCTGGGTCATCGGAAAACCACCATTTTATGTGACCAAACCATCTAAAGCGATTCTCTGTAATTTTATCTTCCATTGGAGCTACTCCAACCTTTAATGTATATGCTCATTTCGTATCCTGTCTCTAAGAGTAGAGCTACTCATCCACTCGAGCATCCTCATATTTGCAACACTTAACTTAATATTATGCTTCTCTTTTAATGACCAACATTTTGCACCATAAAGCATTGCAGGTCTCACTACCATCTTATAGAATTTTCCTTTAAGTTTGAGAGTGATTTTTCTATCACACTTGAATTTTATTAATAATATCTCCATCTATTTCACCATCACTCTGAGCAATAGACCTAAGATATCTAAAACATGTACTATTATTAATGACCTTATTGCCCAAAGTCACAAACCTCCCACCAGATCTATTATTACTAAAATTACACTCCATATATTTAGTTTAAATCTACTCAAATGAAAGCCTTTATACTCTAAGGTTGACCTACATAATTCAAGTTTACTTTCAACTCCCTCTCTAATCTTATCAACAAGAAGACTATCATCAACAAGAAGCATACACTAGGGTACAACCACTTGCAAATGTCTAGTGCGAACATCCATGATAAAGCAAAAAGATATGGGCTTAAACCTGATCCTTGATGTAATCCAATTAAAATAGAAAAATACTTGGTCAAACCACCTTGTGTTTGAACACGAGTAACAACTTCCACATACATATCTTTAATGACTTGAATATAAGCTTTTTTAAACCCTTTCTTATGTAGAACTCTCCATAACACTTCTCTTAGAACTTTATCATATGCTTTTTTTAAATCAATAAAAATCAAATGTAGATCCTTTTTATTCTCTCTATACTTCTCCATCAAACCTCTCAATAAATGTATAACTTCCATAGCATACCTATCTGGCATGAATCCAAATTGATTTTGAGAAACATTAGTGTCAAGTTGTAACCTATGCCCCATAACTCTCTCCCATAGTTTTAAACTATGACACATTAACTTAATTCCTCTATACTTCGCACAATCTTGTGCATCAAATGTATTCTTAAAATTAGGAATCGACACACTCCTTCTCCACTCATCTGACATATTTTTAGTCGTCAAAATAATATTAAGAAGTTTAGTAAGCCAAGAAATTTCTTAATCTCCTAAGCATTTTCACACCTCTATTGGAATATCATCAGGTCCAATAGTTTTTCCGCATTTCATTTTCTTTAAAGCCTCTCTAACTTCGATTTTACTAATCCGCCTATAAAAAAAGAAATCTTTATTTTCATTTAGGGTACTAAGGTCACTAAAGTCAATTGTATTTTCACATTATTCATTAAAAAGTTTATCAAAATATTTCATCCACCTTTGTTGAATATCTTCTAAAAAAAATACTTTTTGATCTTCATCCGTAATATAGTTCACTCATATCTCTTTGTTTAGCTAATTTATATATATATTTTTCGCCCTTCTTAGTATCTAATCTATTATGTAAATCATTAAAATCTAAAATATTTGTATCACATCTTGCATTCTTATACTCCTAACGGGTCTCTTTATATTTTTCCCAATTATTAGAATTTTTACAGCTAAACCAATTTTTATTACAAATTTTTTTATTTTTTATCTTTTTTTGCACATTTTGATTTAACACCAACTATTTTTACTATTAATAGCTTTTCCCTTTGATATTCCAAGCACATCTTTTGCAATTTTTTAATATGACTAGTTACTTTTTCTCACATAACATTTGCTTCCTCATGCACAGACAAAATCTTAGGATTTAGAATCTTAATCTTAAAAATAATTTTGTTAATACTTTTTAAATGCCTCCATCTAATCGTAGAACAATGATTTAGTTTATTTTTTATATTCTGCCCCTTCATTTTAAAGTTCAAAATTAATAATTGATGATGGGTACATAAATTTTCACTTGTAATAACTTTACAATCAACAATAAGACAACTGAATTCTTCCGTGGTGTGCTCGTACCTCGATGAAAGCTCTAATATAAAGAAGAGTTATTAAAAGCCATCTGCAATGGGTGAAGTAAAACCGACAACTCCTAGGTCTGAATAACTAAGGAGATATAGGCCTATGGACTTATTCATGGTATAAATCTTTCAACATGTTTCTTTGCCAAGAGAGTTGGTAGAGTTCGATGATTCTATTTCTGAAACGAAGTGTTATGAAGGTTGGATAACTCCCTCAGGATGGACTTTTGGACCTTAAAGGAAACTTTTGGGGGTAGATCCTTAAGAATGCAAATCGTGACTTGATTCAATGATTTTTATAATATCCGTTTAGTGTCTTTTTTGGTGGTAACACAAATGAGCTAGTAATTGGTTCCCTCTAAATTATCCTAAAACATTTAATGCAGGGAATTTGTGCTTTCTGAGTGTAACGTTAAGATCAATTCTGATTACGAGAATTTAAAAAATGAGGCTAAAAGCTCAACTTTTCTAAATCTATGCTTTAATACTCTGCTTCATTTTTTTTTTCCAGACTAACTAGTATACTATTTATGTTGTTTTTTGAATATAACTCTCAGACCAATTTTGATTTCTAGAATACGAAAGATGAGGCCAAAAGTTCAACTTCTTTGAAGGAAAGACAAACATACCAAAAGCTATTACCAAGAGTTTCAAATCAGAGTGTTGCAAGATATTCTGAAGCTTCATTATCTGAAGATCGAAATAGAGCATCAAAGAAGCTTGCAAGGTGGGAAGGTACAAAAAAGGATGCTTTAGAGTCTCCAACTAGGAGAATGTCTTCCCAGAAGCAAAAACCTAGTATTTCATCGGTAAACAGTGAGACATATGAAGAAACAAATAACACAGTATTTTCAGAAGAACAAATAACACTTCTTCGCAACAATGCAACAAGAAGACAGGCTCACAAGATTGAGGTAAGATAAATTGTGTGCTTTTAAAATCTAATGTAATGCCTCGTAAGCATTCATATAGTTGTACTCCTAATGGTGGTTTAATTGTAAAATTATCCCCCAACAATTCATATAAGGTCAATTTAATCCCAGTGTATCATATTTCTTCAATTTAGTTTGATGACTATGCAAAATTGATTCAAAATACTTCTTCGGAAACTAAATTGGGATAATTTTGTATAGCTAAGGGATTAAATTGAAATCAATTTTGTATCACAATTTCTACACGAGAGATAATTTTGGAGCAATATTGTATAATGGAGCGGTTGAATTGGAGAAATATTGTACCTTGGGAATAAATTGGCCACATTTGAATAGTCAGGGAGATCATTTTGGGATTTAATCTCCCTAGGAGTAAGACAATTTATGGTTATAGTTCACTGTGATAATTTCTATGTACATTATCTTTTTTAATTTGAATATAAGGAGATGGATATACATACCTCTTAATTCTTATGTGTTTATATCTCTAACACCTAAATTTGTACATAACACTCAACTCTTTAAATCATATAAAAAATATCAGTATTGTTGCGTACCAGAAAATTCACAGTCAAACTATTGCGTACTAAAAATTTGCGGTGGTAGAGAGATAAAGTTTAGCATCCTAGTTTTCTACGAAGATCCAACGCATAGATAAAAGCATGGGGTGTAACATTTATAAGAAACACCAAGATTTTTACGTGAAAAAATCCTGAAAAGGAGAAAAACTACGGAGTCTAGCCCTGTTTGAATGAATCTAGACTAAGTATTTGATTGGGTTGATTAGCAAATGAGTGTTTTCCTTGTGGGGGGGGGGGGGTGGGGGGGGGGGGGGAGGGGGGGGGGGGGGGGGGGGGGGGTAGGGGGGGGGGGGGGGGTTTTATGTAGCAAATACACATTGTATAAAGCTCGTTATATGTAAGCTATTCTTAAGAGAAAGTTGACATGTCTATTTGGTCGGTAAATTTGTAGTCAGCAGGCGAAGGTGATCGGAGGGACCGTAGTTGGAGGGCGATAGTGGTCGGAGGGACTGTAGTTGGAGGGCGATAGTGGTCGGAAGGAAACGGAGGTCGGGGGGACCGTAGTCAGCGGGTGATGGTGGTCAGAGGGATTGTAGCCGGCGAGTGATAGTGGTTGGAAGGACCATAGTCGGATGGCGATGGAGGTCGGGGGGACCTCAGTGGGTGACGATGGTGAAAGGAATCGTAGTCGGCGGGCGACTGTAGTTGGGCGACGGTGGTCTAAGGGATTGTAGTCGGCGGACGATTGTAGTTGGACGACGGTGGTTAGATGAACCGTGGTCAGGCGACGATGGTTGAAAGAACTGTAGTCGACAATGGTGGTTGGAAGAACCACAGTTAGACAATTGTGGTTAGAAGGATCGTAGTGGTAGTCAGCAGGCACGGAGGTCCAAGGGATCGTAATCGGGCGATGGTGGTCGGAAGGACCAAAGTTGGGCGACAGTGGTTGAAACGACTGTAGTCGAAAACGATTGTCGGAAGGACTGTAGTCGGACGACGATGGTTGGAAGAAAGCTCGACAATGGCTGCCAAATGGAGGTCCTACGATGAAGGTTGGGCAGAGGTTCAACAACGACAGCCTGGTGGTGCGTATTCATTGGTGATTGTGCGGGGTGGAACTACAGGATTCTTCAAGCCATAGAGCTCATCTCTTCTTCCTCCTACCAAAGGCTCCCATTCTGCTTTCATGTAGGAAGTGGTGGTCTATTTATAGATTTTTTTTTTAATCATAAATTTTGGAGTGTTCCATCGGACGATCCATATTGATCTCCTTGATTATAGAGCGTTTTCCAAGCATTTATATGCCCAAATGATGTCAGAATTAGGCGATCTTGGACTTGTTGGAGTCGTCTCGTCTAGCCGCTCAATTCGACTATAAGCATGCTATATTTGGATATCATGTGGTCAATCCAATTTATGCTTTGAACCTTCCAAGAAGGCTTTTTGATCCTTTGATTTGGGATCAGATTGGATCGAATTTGGTGTCGTCGAGTTCGTTTTATTGATATGTTCAATTCGACCATAGCTTGTTGAAATTGGACTTTGAATGATCCTAAATTTAATTGAGGAAGTTTCTGATTCAAATTTGCATCGAGATTCGCGCTCGATCTAGTTGATTTTTTGATACTTATCAAGTATCATTAATTTATTTGAGTGCAATACACATTTTCATGCATATATTTTGAAATGATTTAGATACTAGGATATTATATTTGTAAATATAAAGATTTAAGCATTAAATATGCAAATAGATGATAATTTTATGATATATATCGATCGCCCTTGAATATATTCAGTTGATAAAGCGAAACATAATGTAAGATTTCTATCTTTTTCAGGAGGGATTCTCATCAGCATCTACACTGACAAAGCTAACAAATCGACTCAACTTTCTCAAGGAAAGGCGCGTCCAACTCGCTAATGAGCTACAAAATTTGGATTCGGGTCGAGCCGCTGGCTTTGAAGCTCCTTTGAAAACGAATAACAACTGATTTGGAATTTGCTTGATTCACAAAAAAGCTGTGCTCTTACCAGATCAATGGTTTTGTAGGGAATTCAAATGCTTAGCATTTGATGATTTATTATAATGTTAAGCTTATAACAACAATTTGTTGCTCTCATCAGGTCTATCAGGATATTTAAGTTCCGATTATCCACGGGAGAACTGAAGACTCATTTGTGGAGTATTCTAGTACTGTCTTTCTTTTCGTCAAAGATTCCTTATATATTATTGTAAAATTTTCTATTTGAAAACTAACCACTGTAAATATTTTATTGTAAAGTTTTCAACATGGAAACTAACTGCATTAAAAAAAAAAAGTTGGTGTCTATTATGATGGGTGTCTTTGGTCAGCTTTGGTTGACACCCACGCGCTTGTCCTTCATAATGGTGATTAATTATTCTGTGCGGATGCCGAAGGTCGTCCGGAGAATAACTAGAATGTGTTACGTCACTCGTTCATTGTGTACCGCGGCTCGGTAAAACTCGGTATCGTGGCTCAGTACCGTTAATGTGGTTGTACCTGATTCGCCTTTGGATGTAGAGTTATGTCTGGCCTCCGCACAGAATAATTTCTCTTGTGTAGTCTCCCTTAGCTAACTTCTTCATCCTTTAAGGAGCTTTTATCAAGCGCTTGTCCTTTCACAGTGGATCATTTCTCCTTTGATTTCTTTTGACATCATTCCTTATTTGGGATATGGCTTGAGTTGTCAACTTGTCTTAGGAGTTCTTCATAAGAGCTACTTTTAGTTGCTTCCCAAGAATAAGTAATATGTATTTCAGTATTTGTATCTTGTCAAACTTACCTGACTACTTTCTTGTATTTAGGTGGCTAGAGCCAACGCCTATGTATAAGTATGTTGTCCTTTTTGTTGGGTTCCTTAGGGATTAGGATTGGCCCACTCGTCAAAGCAAGAAAAAGCTCCATAAAATCATGCTGCTTGAAATTTAAGAAATTGTCTTAAGCAAACATCACTTGTTCAATTGTATACCAAAATCAATTTGTTGCTTGAAATTTAGGCTTTGTTTGGGAAGATTTTTTTACTACTTATTGAATTAGTTTTTTTATACAAAAAATTTAATTGCGGTTCACGGGTTCGGGTTTGGATTTCCAACCCGTTTTTCTACGGGTCGGGTTAGGGTTGACACATCTACATTACCCCTATCTTTAGAAGGCTTGCACATTTCCTTTTCATGTTAACTACCGATTATATATCCTTATCTTTGTCTTTGTACCCTTACGCTTGAGACCGATGTGGATCTACAATTATGCTAGTTATCTTGCTCATGGGCACTATCACTCTATAAACCTAAGCCAGTAGTTGCTACTTGCCATGCCCCCCACACCAACTTCACTAATTCTTTATATAACTGAGTTAGCCTTCCTCTATTGCACAAATCATCTATTATGACCTGATCAAAAGGCTCGAATTAACGAGACGGGAATAGATGGTCAGACGGTTGATTAAATATTTGATTTCTAAAACTATCATCAATAAACTGAAAATTTTGCTAAAAGCCTCTAAATAAAAAAAAAATTATAATAATTATCTTTCCCTCATAGCGTTCCGCCTATGATAAACATTACCTTCTCTTCTACTGATTTTATGCTTTTGAGTAATGCTTGTAATTGACTTTCAATAAAAAGAGTGAGTCATAAAATAACTTAGAGAGTAATTCATGTTCTAAAATTACAATAACACAAAGCCTTTGAAATATTATGCATGCTCATTTTTAAACATAAAGTATTCTATTTAAATTCTTTTAAAACAAGATAATCAATATTATGAATATATCATATATTTATTGATATATTTATCTTTTATAGTAAATAATGCAATCATCGTAGAAGTCACCGTTTAAAATAGTTTCAATGAATGTACTCCTTTTCTATTTCATTTTTCTTTTTCATAACATTTTTCATTTATGTGCATGAGTACATTGCGTCCCCAGTCAGTACTATAAGGGGGTGTGCTACATCATTCAACATACACATGTAAGAATATATAAATCTAGCCATTTTATTCATATAGTATTCATTTAGTTTTTATGATAACATTACATATTAATTTCATCAGATTCAAAATGATTAATCATTCGATATGAGAAAGACAAAACATGATATAGTTAACAATAAATATTTAATAAGCATTTATTAGCTTTCAAAGCATTTAATTGAAGAAAATATAAAGTCATTAAAGTAATAAAAACAACATGAGTACTCACTTTAATTTGGATATCTAAATAATTTACTTTAATCACCACTCCAATTGTCATCAACGTAATACCTATATAAATGCATACTCTATATTTGATCTCTCATGTGAAATAATCGCTAATTCTAATATTAAAATTCTCTCCCTAAAATATTAAATACTATATTATTATTATTATTATTATTAATTGATACTACATAAATTATCCTTTCTCTCTCTATTTGTTCTCCTTGTTATTTTATTTAAATATGGATAAAGTCAAAATTTCATTATTATCAATTTTTTAAAACTTTATATACTTTATAACTTCTAATTTTAAAAGAAAAATCCTAATTTAATTATTATTCATTTTTAAAATAAAGTTTCTACTAATAAAATGTACTCACATTTTCTATAAAATTTATCATTAGCTCACAAATTCGTTACTCTTTTAATTTATTAATATCTTAATTAATTTATCTTTATTTATTATTTACAGAATAAATCCTTAATTATAAATTATCTTACTTTTTTATGTTCTTGCCGCTCAATCCCAAACTCGCCGCTTGATAGATTCTTCTCCTTCGCTTTCGTTCTCACTCTCTCGATCTCTCTCGATCTCTCTCGTTCGCTGCTCAAACCCTCGACCACCTCCTTCTTCTCCTTCGGCTTGCTTGAAGTCTCTCTCTTGTTATCTCTTTTCCAATTTCTTCTCATTCTCACTGACAATGCTCATTACTCTATTTCTCCCATTTAGCAATGCTAGACATAACAAAATAGAGTTATCCTTTGTGAGGAGTCGCATTTTGCCCGCTTGCATGCATGATGGATGTTGCTGCTTTGCCCGTGTTTTTATTATCGTTGGTGCAATTGAACCGGTCCAACTGGTTCTTGCATCATCTCACTAACTCTTTTACCTTCACCTTTAGTTCAATGCCTTATTGATTGGACGCCACCACTGACCTTGTCCACTTTCATTACCATTGTCTTCAGTTCATTGGAAGCAAATTCTAAATCCTTATATGAAGCCTTCTATTTGGTTGCGTGTTGGGCGATGCCCAAGCTAATATTTCAAATATTGTCGGGTGGAACCCAACATTTCCCCATGTCCAACCCATTATTTCATATATAGTTTGAACCAAATTAGTAGCCTACAATACATGTTCTCAATATGGCGCCTTAACTTTCCTATTACATAAATTAAGAAAGTTGTGCAGTTCACATTTTTCTAACTCGCCTATTAGAGAGATTATTGGGTTCGGACACCGAACACAACTTACTGTTCGGTACTTCACAGTACCTAGTATTATTGAACTCGGTACTTCACAGTACCGAGCAGTACTGAGCAGTACCGAGCAGTACTGATCGGTAATGTGAAGTACCAAGCTCATACCAATTAAGTTCAGTACCGAGTAGGAGGTGATGTGGCGCATTTTCATTGTGCTCCGGTCGTCATTCGGTGTCCGAACCCAATAATTGCCCCGCCTCTATTATGTATATTGACATACACACTAGTACAAATGGGCACCTCTTTATCTTATTTTCCCTAGGATCTACACTACATTGTTTGACTCTTTTTGTAATAAGTACTTGTGGTTTGGTTTCTTTTTTTTTTTCACTGCTATGTAATAAATACTTTTACTAAGGAGTCAAACTCTTATTTGTAATGTAAACATTATTTCTTTGATATACTATATAACATGCTTTGAATGTATAGTGGGCAATGCACCTTATAGAGGCTCAAGTAACTTTGGATTATGTGATATTTACTACTTTCTTCCTTTCACCATATTGCATGAATCACTTTAGGGCCAGCTTTCTAAAATAAATCAAAATTTAATGTTTTTTTATATATAATTGTTATTTAACATGAGAAATTTCTATAATGATGCTTATTCATAATATTTAAGTTTTTATTCTATAATGATGCCTTTCAAACCTACATCATAATCAAGATTAATGGCATGGCTTATAATAAAATAAAATCACTACACCCATATCCCTCATATGCATATTAACTAAAATGGGAATATTCCTTACCCACGTATCATATAAGTCAATTATTATGATTTTTAATCCCTTATGTTTAATATTGTAAGTCCCATAATCTTCATCTTCCCTATAAGTGAAAAAATAATATTACCTATCCCATTTGGCCTTAGAGTTTAGGATTATATAATGAGTATTAGACATATATACTCGTCTAGGGTGTTGTATGGTTTGAGTATTCTCCTTCTATTTGTAGAGGGATTATATATGTCACAACCCAATCTGATAAGACCTACATACTAGATATGTCATATCATATTGGTTTGTAAAAAGTGGATCCCAAGATCTAAGTTTTGGAAACTATTCCGAATTTTTTTTTTCAATTTTAATTTTAAATCAACCCACAAACCAAAGGGTTGTTAACAACCTCAAGGATGCTGAAAATAAACTCATCAACCAAATTCTCTTTTTATTTATCATCAAAATGTATATATAATAATTACGCTACAGTATTGGTTATATACTATAATAAATAACATAGTAAATTTAATAATGAGCCATTATTGTATAAAACTAAAAGAAAGTAATAACTATACAGACTCATATTAGATCATGAAAACTGTGACTCAATTATTACTTTCTCTCTCTCAAACCCTGGAAATATAAGTGAAACAACTGTGAGCTAACACAGCTCAGTAGGTCACATTTGTTGATAAAATTTTTAAATAAATCTATTATTAAGAAATTAATTCACAGCTACAAGTAATATAATAAATTACTATGGTGACAAAAATAATAATTGCGGTTATTACAAATTCAAATAGTAGTGTTGGTGAAATACATAAACATACACTTTATATCATATTGAATTTAGAGAATGCTGACCTTTATGCCTCCCAATAGATGGAATGTAGAGAATTATGAGAATAGCATATGTATTTATCACCAGAATATGTCATTGGTATCAGAATGTGCATTTAGCACTAGAACAATGCTTTCTCCATCCACACCATAACTCTTTAGAAGCTTACAATTTAATCAGATAAACACATAATTCATTGAAGTGCAATAACATGAATATAAATAAATTCATTTTAGAAACTATCA